AGAGACTGGTTAAAAAGAGGCTTGTATCATTTCTTCTAAAATACAAAATACTCACCCCTTTCAGTTTGGGTTCTTGAGCAACAAATGTACAAATGACGCTATGTTTTCGCTGTTTAATAATGTATACTCCAGTCTGAACAACCGTCTCGTTACAGCAACAATTTTCTGTGATTTCTCGAAAGCTTTCGATTGTTTTAATCATAACATCCTACTAACAAATTGCAGTACTATGGTATCAGGGGAACGCCTCTTGAATGGTTTAAGTCCTACCTTAACAACAGAAACCAGCGTGTGAGGGTTGATAAGACTGTGTCTTCTTGCAAGCCAATAGAATGCGGAGTACCTCAGGGCTCAGTGCTAGGTCCTATTTTGTTTCTGTTGTTTATCAACGATATTGCTAGTCTGGACATCAGTGGTAAAATCTGTCTCTTCGCGGATGATACTTGTTTCACATGGAGCAGCCCGGACACCACGGCACTTCATAGAACCATTTCCAGTGACTTAATCAACATAAAAACATGGTGCGATTCTAATTATCTGTGTCTCAACGTCTCTAAAACTAAAGTCTTATCATATAAAAGTACGTTGCTACCTTTTCAACTTGATAATACCACCATTGACGTCGTTGATTCTGTGAAATTTTTAGGCCTTGTTGTGGACAACTATTTAAAATGGGATTTGCAATCGATGCTTTAGCTAAAAAATTAAGTTCTGCCTGTTTCGCACTTAGATCAGTTGCTAATGTGCTTAATTTGTCAACATCTAGGACAGTCTATTATGCCCTTTATGAGTCGCATCTCCGATACGCACTTCCATTCTGGGGTGCGTGTTGTGCGACTCAATTTGAGCGTATCTTCAAATTACAAAAGAGAGCTGTGCGATATTCACTGAGGCTAACCAGTTGTGCTCACTGCCGGGACTTGTTTAGAAGATATAAAATATTAACTCTTCCTTCCCTATTCATACTCGAATCCGTCTGCCTAGTTCGCAAGCACGTATCGAGTATTTCTCTAGAGCCAGTTCATGGCTATCCAATTAGGAACGCAGAGCATAACATGTATCTGCCAACCCCTCACTCTGAGTTAGTAAAGAGTTCCCAATTGTACAATGCAAAAAAAAATGCACTATCATCTGCCATCTGAAATTAATTCCATTTCATCCTTTCCTGCATTTCGCAGAGCCTTGAGATCATACTTACTGGAGAAAGCCTTTTACGCGGTTAACGATTTTTTTATTAATATCTAGGGTTCTAAATTTAACACACATTCACTAAATTTAAGAAATGATTTTGTTTTCTATCCATTTAAATTTAGTATTGACATTATATACAGTTGTTTATTTACATGTATGTTTATATTTTATTTATATTTAATTAAATTTTTGACAATGTACAATTTCTATAATTGTATAAAGTATTGTTTTAGTTTTGTATGTTTGCTGTTAGTTTTATATGTTTTTTTATTGTTAAGTGAAGTTTTGTATGTTTTTTATATTCTTTTTTTTAAGCTTTGTCAACAAAATTGTTTAATTTTTTTATGACAATAAAGCAATTTCTTTCTTTCTTTCTTAAATTATGTAAAGTTTATTGTCTCCATATGCATACATATAACATGTAGATAATCATATATTTGTAAAAGATGTATCGTTTAGAATATAACATTTATAATTCGAAAATGATTAAAATATCAACTCCGTGGCATTCAACTCCGAGTCTCAGAGTGCCTCGGACGTGACTGGTGTTCTCGGAGTTGATGAAATCAACTATTAAGCATTTAACAAGAAATTAACAAATTAAGTAGTAGTGGGAACTATCGAATGAATACTATCGAAACATTCGATAGTTGCAATTCATTCGAATAATTCGATAGCTAGTAAAAAAACATTCGTTGAAAACTATTCGAATAAAAATTATCGAATAGATGCGTCATCTGCCTTGAAATATTGTATTCTAGTAATTCGGCAGCAAAAACCATTCATTTATAAAATTCATTCATTTATGAAATTCATTTATTCGTCAGGATCGATTATAATAAAATATTAACTGGATTTTAGTTGTCGCCCGGCGACATAGGTTTCTTTCCGAGAAACCCGACAGCGGTCGGTGGCAATGCTATGAAAGAAGCCGGCATCTTTGATTTTTTGCGGAGTCATATAAAGATAAGGACACATTATTTTTTTATTGAGGTGCTAGTATTTACACAGAAAATACATTATGAAGTGTTGCCATATATTGGTCTTAGTTGATATTAAAGGATATTAGCAAAGAATATTATTGTTTGGCTTTAGTTAGTTAGGGATAGTATGTCATATATTTTGCATTTTTTTTATTAATATTCTGTTGTTACAATGCAATAATACTTGTTATTTTGGATGTAGGAAAATGATGTTTAATGTTTTTAAGCAAAGACTGGTTTAATAAAAAAAATAATAACAGTAATAATTTGTTATACCTATTAACAACAAAATTTAAAATAATTTAATATAAACATTTTTTTTACGTAGTAGCAAAATATAAACAACAAATTAGATGTCAAAATTTATATTAGATTCTATTTAAAAATAATATAGTCTTTAAATTTTTTGGCAACGTTGGTTTATTAAATAATAATAATTACAGAACTAATTTGTTATATTAACAACAAACTTTAAAATCATGAAATATAAACATTTATTAATTTTGTAAGCATGCAGTGTAATGGAAGGAAAATATAAATAAAAAATTAGAAATCAAAATTATTAATATTAGGTACTTTATATTACTATTTAAAAATAATATTTATTTTTACTTGCATTTACTTTAAAAAATAAATGAAATATTTCTTCGCAAAAAACTACATGTAAGAGAATTAGCATAAACAAAATACAAACATCGTTAACTTTTTTTTTTTAATTGGCACGTGTAAAACTTTCGTCTTTTCTTTCCAACTTTCGTAAAAGCGTCAATTTAATTTTCACACCCCATAGTTTGAGTTCGATAACCATTTATTTAACCACATTACTTAAATATGATTATTAAGTTCAACTAATTCATATTATTAAAACATCTAAAATACAAATATGTATTTTTAAAATTAATTCTAAGTTCATCTCATCTCTCTTAAAAATTGCTACTTCTCAAAATTTCCCATTAAAAAATAGACCATATATACCCATATAAAATAAAATAATTGAAAGATCGGGCTACGGAAAATCACACAAATTTTCGGAAAAATTTTGACACCTGCACACGCACACAATCGTCAATTAAAAAAAACTACTATTTTAGTATTTTAAATATTTTAATAAACGCAAAAATAGCACAGTATTTATAAGGTGAAGCTATAAAAGTTTGGAAGAACTAATAATGCACTGACGTACACAAAAATCAAACGAATACTAAATTTCATTTATCAAAAGCATTCGATAGTCGTGGCTCAACGATAACCATTTAGTTGCACGGCAAGGTTGTCACATATGCTTTAGTATACAAATGAATGAATGATTTTATTCGAATAAAACCATTCGATAGTTGAAATCATTCATTCAGTAACCATTCGATAGTCTAATTCATTCGATAGTTCCCATCGCTAAAATTAAGCTTTTGCGCCCGTTAAATTTTAAAAATGTGTATTTTTTAATCAGTTAAAGGAAAATGAAACGCATCAAAACCGAAGAAGAAAAACGAAAAAGAAAACCAAAGCTACAGCGACTGCGTAGAAAAAAAAATAAAGCATAATACAGAAGAACACGAGACATTGAAGATAAAGGAAAGGCAAAGATGGAAGAAAAGCAAAAAATTAGGCAAAATTCATAAAACTGGCGATCTTTCAAGAAAGGACCAAAAAGCTAAAAGGAGCTTTGGGTAGAAATTTAAAAAAAATATATACAAAAATTAGTAAAGAATTATGGAAGAAATTTTGTCCGTTCCTATGGAAGAAATATATAGAAACCGTTTTATGGAAGAAATATATAAATGTATCGATAAAAAAATTGGATCTAACTCCTATGTTTCTGAGGAAGGAACGATGTATTGGAAGTAATTAATAAAAACGGAAATTGTTTTAAATGGCGGGAAAGAAAAGTTATGTAAAAAAATTACAAAATATAAAGTATTTTTTTGTTCTTTTTATGAAACATACGACAAATAAAATCCAGCAGTATAAAGTTATTAGAGCTTTAAAACACAAAATAGAATCATTTTTATGAGGAATATGGGTTACGAGTAATAAACAAGCAGTTGTCAACTCCGTATGTAAGTTGTCAACACCCAGGCAGGCCAGTTTTTTTATGCCAAAGTTTTTCAAAAAATATTAATAATTGATTGCTGCTGAATAGTACACCATGTCATTAAGGGTAACATCTATCATAAGAGTGAATTTAAGAATTATTATTTGTTTCTTTTTTTTTTATTTTGTTCTGGCTTGAAATTGTCCCATATCTGTGGATTGCCCCATTTGTATGAGTTAAGAGTTTTTAAGTTATACCGTATGATCGAAATAAAAAAACGGCGTCCATTTGGCTTGGAAATTACGGGCGATGACATTCCCCATATAATTTTACATACAAAATAACAGCGATCTTCATTTCCAAGCCACATCTGACGCCGTTTTTTTTTTCCATCGTATGGTATTATACCAGATTATACTATCCTTTATAGAATCTAGCAGCAACATTTTACATCAAAGTTAGCACACAGGGGACATAGATATAATTTCTAACACCACAAATTCCAGAAACTCACAATTCAAACACAAATAAGATTTCTGGTCGAATAGATCGCACACGAAAATAGGTTCAGGAATAAAGAACAAGCGCTTTTCAACAAAGTTTCACTTAAAATTTTGTCACAAATTTTTCATTGCGGGACCCTGAGTCGTTCGTTGTTTTTCGATATTAGTTAATGTTAGGATATCATTTAGATTACTATAACTAGTAATCTAACGATTACGCTCATAGAATAAGGAATTTGTGTAATGTCTTTAGTATTTTGTATACTGTCATTAAACGAATAAAAAATCATCTAAAGAAATGCAAATATATTTATTGATTGTTAAACAACACACGGTATAATTGAAATAGAAACAAATATAGATTAGATTTTCTTTTTTATTAATTTAAAACACTTGAATTCTATGATTCTCGCGGTCACACACTAGAATATGCCCATCAGGTGTCATAGCGACCCCTTCCAGTCCCTTGAATTCGCCCTTCTGCGAGCCCCAGCATCCTAGGGCTCTCAGGAAAGTACCATCTGGATGGAAAATCTGGATTCGGTTGTTTCCAGAGTCAGCCACGCAAATGTATCCTTGGTCGTCTACGGCCACACCTCTCGGGAATTTGAATTGACCTTCTTCTGATCCTTCTGACCCGAACGACGTAATAACTTTTCCATTCACGTCGAATATCTGGATTCTGTGATTGTTTGAATCCGAAACTATGACGCGGTTTGTGTTGGAGACGGCGATGTAATGAGGATGTTCCAGTTGACCTTCTTTGTTACCTATCGCACCGAACTTTCCTACGAAGGTTCCATCTGATTGGAAGACCTAAAATTGCAAAAGAATATCTTAGTAACTTAGATATACAATTATAAACACGTTCGAGCCAATAAAAAGTTGACGAAAGATCGTTTGAAAACAGGATTTAGAATAGTTTGATCGTCAAAAAGTGATATGTGATGTTATACAATTTTGAAGCCTCAAGGTTCATTCCGAACCTCGCAATTAATGGAATAAATTAGTGGTTTTAATTAGCGTAGAAGTTTGCTCCTCCATTTTAACAGAATGTTAAAATTAGTGGTAGGAATTTTCAATTAGCGGAAAAAGTTAACAAACTTTTGACTTTTTCACTAATTATACTTCAAAATTTGCGAGGAATATCATTTTAGCCTTTGTTATCATCCCTCAAGAGAAAATGTGGTTAGAAACCAACAGTTTATTGCATGGTACAAAGAATACAAGGTATGATATTGCGCAGGTTGGTCGCTACGTCACAGGTGATAACAGGCGCTATTGGTCAGCACGCTCCGCGCGCCAGTTCAAATCGTCAAGATATTGTTATAAACCTGTTTTTTTTGTTTATATACCGTCATTGAATTATCGCTAAGCAAGTTACTGTGGAGCAGTGCATAAGGAGTCGGGCTAGGAAGCGAGAGACCGGAGTTCGAATCTCGGCCGGAACATCACTTTTTATTTATTTTTTTAAATACTGTTGTATTCTATAGCTTATTTTTGAAGTATAAAAAAAAAGAACTATTTATTCTGTTATTTTTTAATCTCCGTTATTAATATAAATTGATTGTTAGTACAATACCTCATTTAATATAAAATAATATTCTACTTTTTGAAATGTATCGGGCCCTAATTGTACCTAAAAGTAATATATTTTTAGTGATATACCATATTGTAAACTATTTAATATTTTAGTCACTTAAAAAGTTAATTTGCATTGAATAATTGCCTACCATTAAAGGAAATTTGAGCTATATAATCCTTGATGGGCATATTCTGGGTATGCAAATACTTCCTTTAAATTTTGGGTGTCGTTCAACCGATTTATTCTCAAAACCAGAAACTTCTACATATAAAAAGAAGCAGAGGTCACTAATTATAATAAACTTCACCCTTGGTATTACTTCCACTAATTATAATAAACTTCACCCTTAGAATTACTTCTATCACAATTACAATACGTTCATCTGCATTGGCATTTTCTACTTTTCGATGGGAAACAATAAACTTCCCAATATTTTTTAAATGATGTAACAATTCCTCTTGTGGTTACTTTTCCATAGATATCCTCAACTCTGTCCTCATGTGAATTCAGAGGCAATGAAAATGAAAATTATTTACCATAAACATCGCAAACTAAAAACCTAATAAACAATTTTATACCGAATATAGAAATAAATTCAGTATTCTTACCTATCGTCCAAATCCATGTTAATAGATAATTATTATTTTTAAATATATTTTTGGAACTGCTGGTTTTAGTAATTATTAAATTAAACGAACTAAAAAGTCTTAAAAATAAACAATTCTTAACCATAACCCTAAAAATGCAGATCTCCTGTCAACTTTTTTTATTTTTTATTTATTCATTATTTTCCTAGTGACGTCACAGTTGTATGCGCGAACTGAACGAAATTGGAGCCGCTATCGATCATACCTTGTATTCTTTGAACCATGAGTTTATTGTTTTATAGCTAAATATTAGGGTTTCTCTATGGATATTGGATACAACTGATTACTGTAAGCTGTTGCTATTATATTTTATTAATATTAATTGTGTTTTTAGCCATTGTAAATGATCGTAAACTCTTAAGATTCGTTCAGAACCTCGCAATTAGTGGTTTCAATTAGCGTAGAAGTTTGTTCCTTTAAATTCAATGTAGCATTCAGAACGTCAAAATTAATGGTAGACATTTTCAATTAGTAGAAAAAGTTATCAAACTTTTAACTTTTCCACTAATTATACTTCAAACAGAAAAATGTCATTTTGGCCTTTGATTATCTTCCATCAAAAGAAATTATGGTTAGGAACACGTTAGGAATCAAAAGTTGACTATTTTATAAGCTAAATATTAGCCTTGTTTATATATTCTTAAAGTTGCTTAACCGACTAGACAAAATGTGCTGCCAACTGGAGGAAAAATCGTGAACCTTTCGGGGCGGAGTAAAAATATCGATTATTTTCGTTATTTTCCTCAGAGTAATGTAATAATATAGCCTCGGATTTCTGCGAACTTTAATAGTGATCAGCTGATTAAGAAATTTAAACGAAACTTTTATTTTATTGTAAATTGTGGATTATTTTTGCCTGTTATTTTAAGAATTCTAAACCGTATTAACAAAGAAATTATTATTTCGATATGTTGGTATATTATTTATAATTTATGATAATGCTAATTGCTGTTAATTAATATTTAATAAAAAGTTACATACCTATTTTAATTATTTAATGCAGGTTTATAAAAGAATCATTTCATTCTTAGATTATTTTATTCTAAATTGAGTGCTTTATGAATTTTACGATTTTTTTTTGGAAACATTAAAACTTTTTACATTTTTGATGCCAACTAATTGGCATGGTATTATTGGTATGGAAATTAGCCAAGGAAGAAAAGAATTGGCCATAACTTGTAATTTTTCGAAAAAAACATATTATACCTATATCGCTGAAAAGCTTAAAAAATTGCGCTTTTTATGAAGTCATGGCCAACTATTGTTTCCATTTAAAAAAAACATAATGTTTGTGTCATATGTCAAAAATGGCAGGCTTTAGAAAAAAAAAAACAGAAAACACGACTCATTAGGTATGTGAATATCTACAACTTTTATCTGAAAACTTTTTGTCTAAAATACCGTATGATCGAATAAAAACGGCGTCAGCGATGGCTATGAAATGACGATCGATGATATTTCCCATATAATTTTACATATAAAATGACAGCGATCTTCATTTCATAGCCATCGTGGACGCAGTTAAATATATTATATATTAATATAATTATTAAATTATTTTTTTATTCGATCATACGGTAGATTATAATGGAATTAGAGACAAGTTTTAAAATAGCCAAAATTTGTTTTTTTCGAAACATCTAGTAAGCCTTGAACTTCTCCGAAAAATCCGAAAGGCCCATATTTATGACCCCACCAAACTGCAATTCTTTCCCCATTTAACCAACTCTCTATCTCCAGTAGTTTCCGAGATACCCATAGAGAACATCGTAGGAAACTCACCCTGTATAGTATTTAGAAACTAACTATTATTATTATTTGACTAGATTAATTTGATTAATAAGACTCGATTAATTTAATTTAAAATAAATTTGATCAGATTTTTTTTTCGTATATTCTACTACCAGAAAACCAAAATTATATGATAACGCACTTTTCAACGAAGTTGAAGGAAGATATAGTGTATCTATCACAATACTTAATAGAATTGCTACAATTAGAAGAAAAACAAAAAGAAAAAATACCCGAATACCTTCACCTACTACTCATCTACAAAATAAACGAATATAATCTCTTATAAAAACACTACACAACTACTTCTTGTATTCTACACTGAAAAAATTATCAAACTTACTAATTAATCAAACAAAAAGAAAAAATAACCAAATTATCCCTTCACCTACTACTTAACTACAAAATAATAAACTATAAAAACACTACTAAACTATTTCTGGTATTCTAAACTAAACATTATAATTAAACTTAATAAAATTAATCTGATTTTACACTACAACCACTACAACTACAAAGAAGTAAGAACATTTTTTAAAACTAGAAGAAACAGAACTTCGATACGTGCGACCAGTATAGTAGATCAAGCGGACAAAAGGAAAAGAATAAAACAAAATACTTTTAAAAAATGTGCATTCAGAAAGAAAATATATCTCGAAAATTATCTAAACAAACATTTTTACAACTTATCAGTGAAAAGCATCGGCCTCGTCGGCCTTGTGGAATTTGTCGGGTATTTACAATGGTCGAATTGTATAATTACCAGCTTTTATAGCATATCTAATAGACAAAAAGTATCTGGTCGATTAGTAACCAATTGGCACAGTCCGAAAATTATCGATTTTTATTTTCTCTGTTTTTATTGGTCGCTTCAAAATTCAGAGTAACAAAAAATATTTTTCTGTAGTAAAAGACTGTGAAATACGCCCCGCCATCTGGTGCTTTACATCCATAAACGTCTTAGGTTGAGCTACTATAATATTAGGCTTTCTGTATGGATGCAATTGACTAACGCATTAAGAGACAATAAAAGTAGTAAATACTAGAGGGACCATTTTACGAACAGAAAATCTGTCGTCGGTGGAATTGGAAAATATTTATACTAAAATTTATGTAGGGGTGGGGGTAGTTTTCACCCTTCCTGTACTTTTTCTTTACTTTTGTGAAAGCCAAATGTTAAAACACTTAGCAAAACATGACACCCAAAATCTCATTCAAATCGGAATAACGGTTCTTAAAATATCTGAAAAAATGTGTTTATTTTTTTAAAGTTTGATGCCCCCTAGCGGAGAAATGAACCACTTTTTATGGAGGTGAATTGTGTCCAATAAAGTTATTTTTATTCCAAAAATACGTAGTAGTTCTATGTCCACGGAATATTGGGATATTATGTGTATAATTCGTGGAAAAAGGTAAGTTTGTTAACTTTATCTACTAATTGAAAACTGCTACCACTAATTTTGTCGTTCTGAATGCTTACATTACGATTAGAGGATAAACTTCTATGCTATTGAAATTTGTCCAGTCGTTTCGAGATTTTGAATGAATCTTTATTCTTGAAAATTCAGTGTTTTGTATATTTTCATAATGTATTTTTCAGATAAGATTTATGATACATAACATAATAATAATTATTATATCGATATCAATCTGCCCATTTAGAAAATTGGTTTAGAATATTCTGTTCTTATTAAAACACTGTATATTATTATTATAACGGTACAATTATAAAGTTCAACAGAATCTTAAGCCCCTCGTTAATTACTTATGCGGCAGACGAAAATAGATAATTAATTAAAAAGATGTGATTAATTAAATTCTTAAAGTTTGTTGAGAAAAGTTTTAATTATTTACGGTTAAGCTAACTCGGTTCACGTTTAGAAAATACGAAAACAACGCGGCCGAAAAAAAATTAATGCGGAATAAATAATGAAAACTTTGCATAGTGCTCGGCGCGATTTAAAATTTATTTCCTTATATTCCCCATTCATTTTGCGCCCGGTTTAGCGGGGAAATTCGGAAATTTATGTTTTCCTTACCTGGATTCTGTGGTTTTCCTTATCGCATACATAAATGAAACCTAAGGCGTCCGTGGCGATGCCCCATGGATAGTTGAAACGGCCGTCCGCAGTTCCCTGACTGCCAAATGATCTCAAAAATCTTCCAGAAGGATCGAATACCTGCAGAATGGTTAACATTTAACATGGATGGCCAAGTTTTAAATTGTAATAAACTAATAATAATGTTGTAGTCTTAAAATCTAAAAGAATTAAAAATAGATTAGTGTCTTAAATTAGTTTAGTAGTCTTTGTTGTATGACAATTTTATACAATATGAAAAATTCAGGGGAAAAACATGATAAGCGCTATTTTACTAATTTTACAGGAGAGTCAGAAAACACTTTAGAACGTATAATAATTATGTTTTGTAGGTTTACTAACTACAGTAACAAGAAATGAAATCAACACTAAACTTTGAAAATCAGAAAAACATTATTTTTAATTAAAATGTGAACGCCTAACAAACTAAAAAAATGTTTTCAAAATACACTCAGATATGAGGCAGTGTAGATCGTCCAGGGTAATTTCGGGAACTTACAATTATATTAACACACAGTTATTTACACAGTTCAAACAGAAATTCGAAGGAATCCAAGAAGAACAGATTGGGATCTATACCACGCCAATCTCGTAGACAACCTAAACCAATTAGATGCAAGTAGGGCTAGAAACCACCTGTATGCAGGGGAAGGTAGTGGTGCAATATTGGATGCGTATGAATCTAATTGCTACATAAGGGTATACAAAAAAGTAACAACAAGCCTTCGTAGAACAAGAAGCTGGCCAATCTTAGATCGGAGGTCCGACGACTGTTCCACAGAGCCAAATCCAGCGGCGAATGGCAGCTCTACACCGAGAAATTTAACTGAGTAAAATAAAGAGATAAGAAGGGCAAAGAGGTCTGAATCTAGATCTTTTTGCCAATAAAGCATCACAGAGAACAATCAACATCTTCGGAGTGTCACGGGGTTTCTAACAGGTCATTGCCTCCTCAATTAACACCTCAGTAGATTGAAGCTGAGAAACAATGGCGAATGCAGATTCTGCGGGGAAAATGGATAAACATCAGAATACCTTATCACTGAGTGCGTCGAGACATTAACCGTTCGTGCCATTAAGTCATAAACTTTGGTAAGGCTGATGTCGGAAATTGAGAGCTGGCCTTTGTGGAGCCGTCTCAGATACTGGCTTTTGTCAAAGCCCTGAGACTGTATGATCAACAGAGGGGAACACACAATAAATCTGTAAGGTCCTAACGTCCTTGGTTTCTGAAATACAGGGCGAATTTGAAAATGCATTTGTTTACCTTCATCGTATCTCGGTTATCTTATAACTTACTAGCGTGTACCAGCGACTTCGTTTGCGTCGAATTAATCATTTGTAATGGTGATGATAAAGCAAAGCAAGAATTTCCATTAACATACAAACTGGATAAAGTTTTCTCACATTTATGTCAGCATGAGAAAAAAACAATATGGCGATATATATATATATATATATATTATATATATAAATCTGTAAGTCCTGATTCATTCATCACTGACTTATCAACGCCCAGACCAAACGCCTGACCATAGAAAGCTGAAATTCTGCACAGGGGTTCCTTTTATGATGTTTACGTAAGATAAGAAAGGATTTTTTAAAATTCATCTCCTAAGGGGGTAAAAAGGGGGGTGGAATATTACAATATTTTTTATTTAAAAAACGGCCAAGTTTCCGAAAAAACTTAAACACATATTTTATTTTCTTTTTTTACATATTTTAAGATTTTTTAAAAATGTATACAGGGTGTTTCGAAAAATCTGGTCATTGATTAATTACGATCCTGCTTAAAGCGCTTGACGTAAAAAGCTGATTTTTGGAAAACGGATTGACTTTAGGGTGTAGAGGTTCGATAAGAAGGGATTTTTCGTAACTCGAATTCTAAGGGGGTGAAACCGCCCCTCAAATATTAGAATATTTTTTATTTAAAAAACGGCCAAGTTTCCGAAAAAAACGCTTAAACACGTATATTTTATTTTCTTTTTTTACATATTTTAAGATTTTTTAAAAATGTATACAGGGTGTTTCAAAAAATTGATTAATTGGTCATTGATTAATCACGATCCTGCTTAAAGCGCTTGACGTAAAAAGCTGATTTTTGGAAAACGGATTGACTTTAGGGTGTAGAGGTTCGATAAGAAGGGATTTTTCGAAACTCGAATTCTAAGGGGGTGAAACCACCCCTCAAATATTATACCAAGTTATATAATAATATCGCCATATTGTTTTTTCTCATGCTGACATAAATGTAAGAAAATTTTATCTTAGTTTGTGTGTTAATGGAAATTCTTGGGTTGCTTTATCATCACCATTACAAATGATTAATTCGACGCGAACGAAGTCGCGGGTACACACTAGTTATTATATAGCTTGGTAATATTTGAGGGGTAGTTTCATCTCGTTGGAATTTGACTTTCGAAAAATCTGTTTGCCAAAAATAAGCTTTTTATGTCAAGCAGTTTAAGCAGAATCGTGGTTAAGAAATTACCCAACTTTTTGGAACACCCTGTATGATTTTAAAATATTCAAAAATATGTAAAAAAAAACAAATAAATTATGCTTGTCCAAGGTTTTCAGAAAGACTAACCGTTTTTAAATAATAAATATTAGTAATATTTGAGGGCGTTTTCACCCTCTTGGAATTTCGAGAAACCCCTCCTTATCGAATCTCTACACCCCACAGTCAATCCGTTTGCCAAAAATCAGCCTTAAACGTCAAGCAGTTTAAGCAGAATCGTGATTACTCATGGTCATATTTTAATGAAAAACTTTGTATAAATTTATAAAAATCTTAAAATATGTAAAACAACAAAATAAAATATACGTGTTTAAGAGTTTTCGAAAAACTCACCGGTTTTAAATAAAAATATTTTTAATATTTGAAGGATTTCACCCCCTTAGAATTCGAGTTTCGAAAAATCCCTTCTTATCGAACCTCTACACCCTAAAGTCAATCTGTTTTCCAAAAATCAGCTTTTTACGTCAAGCGCTTTAAGCAGGATCGTGATCAATCAATGACCAGATTTTTCGAAACACCTTGTATACATTTTTAAAAAAATTTAAAATATGTAAAAAAACAAAATAAAATATACGTGTTTAAGCGTTTTTTCGGAAACTTAACCGTTTTTTAAATAAAAAATATTGTAATATTTGTGGGGTGGTTTCACCCTCTTGGAACTGGAATTTCGAAAAATCCCTTCTTATCGAACCTCTACACCCTAGAATCAACCTGTAGGCCAAAATTGAGCTTCTTACGTTGAGTGGTTTGAGCAGAATCGTGATTAATCAGTATGTCAGTCACTTAAGGATTTTATATATTAGTATAGATTGAAAAGATCAAAACTGAGTCCGATACCTATATAGTTTTTCAGGTAGAACTTAGTAGCTAACTAGATTTTCGCTGGGAACTATCATTCTTGAAATATGACCCAAACTAATGTTTTTTTTAAATGAAATACCCTGTATATTATTTTTTTTTATTTTATTTGCCTTGTTATGAGCTTTTCAAAAAATATAACATACTCTATGCTAATTTTTATAAATAAGATAAAAATATGCATTTTTAACCTTTTAACATAGGCGGTTGGTTAGGTAATCAAAACAAGTAATTTACTCGATGTCAAATTTTGGTTATTGCCTGTTTCACGTTAGATTCTCTGTGTAGAATTGTTGTACAAGTAGTTTATTAAGAAAACACGATGGAAAGCACAATTATATAATTAAATTAAATATATAATATAATAATACTCTTTAACTACATTGACTTATGTCAAAAAGTTAAATCATGCATTTTTACCTTATTTAATAAAAAAGTATAGAGTATAGTATATTTTTAGCTCATAATCTCATAATGAGACAAATAAAATAAAAGGATAATATGCAGGGTGTCCCATTTAAAAAAAAATAAATAATAAAAAAAGTCTTATTTCGAAAATGACAGCTCTCAGCGAAAAACTAGTTACGCCACTGGATACTCCTTAAAAAACTCCACGGTACTTAGCTTTTACCTTTTCGATAACTTATAGGATAACCGAGATACGAAGAGCGCCGAAAAATTCAAAATTTTCAAATTTGCCCTATTTCAGGAACTAAGAGCTCTAGGACAAATCTGTGTGTAGCAACTTTGGTTTCATGAAAAAAATAGCACATTAATGTGAAAACTACATTTTTGTAATTCTACTAGAGATGAGCAACAAATAGCGATTCAAATCCCAGGGTGTTTCTGAAGAGTAGTTCGCCCCTATAACTTTTTTATTTTTTCTGATAAAAACAAAGATTTGGTATGTTAGCATATATGACATAAATTAGGATTGATTGAATGTATGCAATTCGTTTCGATCACTTCCTGTTTCACCGGAAATGACTACAACTTTTGATTTTTCATTTTATTCGATAGAAAATGTGAGCGTTCAGGGACGGTCAGCGACTGAGTGGCTAGTTTAGATTGGAATTCCCTGAACGGTCTATTTTTACACACAAAAACAGTCAGCCGCTGAGCAAAATTCTCAACGGTCGATCAGCGGCTGTGTTCCCTGAACGCGCACAATGACACTCTGACATTTACGCTTAAAAAAATCGTATTTTATATTTCAATCTAGAATGCCATGGCGGTGTTAAAAACACTAATTTTTAACCAAGGATTCTCGAAAAAAGATTAAATTGTCTATTGTTTTTCGTTTGTTGTCCTGGCCGATTAAAAGATGCCCAAAATCGTATTTTTAATTATATCTCAATGTTTTCAAATGGAACGAAGGTTGCTCATTACCTTACTTAGAAAAAGCGAATTCTTTGTACGAATAATTTGGTACCACACGTTTGGTATTTTTTGGTATTTTTGGTATTTCTAGTCAAATTGTCAGATGTTAAAAAAACTTAAAAACTAAACAACTGATTTTTATTAACTTTTTTTAACTGTTAAGCTATAACAGGCTCTAGGTACATACACAGACAATTATATCCCTAGTACAATATTTAAATATTAAAATCGCAATTGCAGGTTACAATCGCAGCAATTTAAAAATTGCAATTGCAGTTTCAATTGCGATTGGAGAATCGCAGTTTTGCTCATCTCTAATCTC